ATTCCTGCCCAGGGCCCAGCAGAGCCCCTCCGAGCAGGAGCCTGGGTACTAGGGAGCTTGTCCGTGGCTCCCTGGAACACACGCTGCTTTGCATACGGCTGTAGCTGTGCTGACACAGGGAAGCTAGAGAGGCCCACCTGCCGAAGGCCTTCCCGATGGCCGAGGGCCGGGCCTCGTAGTAGTACTGCTTGTATTCGTCCATCCACACCTCTGCAGTGCGCTTGGTATTCCTAAAAGGAGAGGAAAGGACAAAATAAGGTCATCACGAAGGCAACAGGGTTAGGATCAAGACGAGCTCTCACACGATTTGTATTTAAAATGAAAAATGTACTTAGAAGGCGAGATGAGCTCTGTGCAGTATAAGGCAACGAGAAACTCAGGAGTGGATGTAAAACAATACTCATTGGGGTGTTTTTTTGGGGGACAATCTGTCCATATGCAGCAACGTTATAGGTATAAGAACACTGAGTTTCCATTTCGAGGTTTTCGTGTCCAGCGACAGAAAAGCATGCTGCAGATGAAACACACAGTGTGACCCCATTTATGAAAAAACCCAAACTCAACCCCGTGATGTCTGTGTCTCTCTATAAACATAAATTATATATATGTAAAAGCATTTAAAGGCCTGAAATGATAGACCAGTGATCTATTAACAGTAGCTACTTCTGGAGAGACACCTGGGATACAAAGGAGTAAGGATGAGTAAAACACAATTTTTTCTCTATAATAACATAAAGAGTAAGTAAAACTATATATTTATAAAAGTGATATTGGTATGACTTGCATTTTTACAGTGAACAGGTATGATTTTATATTATAAAAATAATAAAAATGAGGTGGAAGGAAGCACGACCCAACTCTAGGCTGTTGAGGAGCCACTGCTCCAAGTCCTACGCAAGGAAGCATGGAGTTGACAAGGTGAAGAATCGCCCTTAGGAGGAGAGGATGCTCCTGACAATGCTGCCACCCTCTCCTTCCACTCTCCCCAGGATGATAGTTCACAGTGGTCTTCCAGGACATTGCCAGTCCCCCTTTAGACCAGGTGCCTGGGGACACGAACAGATGGACACGAGTGGACAGATGTTGGCACCCATGCCCAGCATCTGGGACTCAATGAGTGGAGGGCAGCATTCATTGTTCATTTGACTGGTTTTCCAAGAATCTCATAACAAAGGGAGTCAAGGCCAGAGGGACCTGGTAGCAATACTCCCAATGTCACCCTGCCACCCCTCAGTGTAGGAGAGTGAACATGGGGAAACTGAGGCCCAGAGAAATGTGGTGGCAGCCTGAAGTCAAGCAGTGAGTCACTGACAGGGCTGGGGTCTAGAGCTTTGGAGTCCTGCTCCTAGGCCACTGCTGTTTCCATGGTGACCTACCTGATGTAAGTGAGGGCATTGCCCTCAGGGAAGTTGTATGGGTGCCGTTTCCTGAAGACATGGCCCACCCGGCTGCAGGGGACGATCTCCAAACTCCCACCGCACATCCACACCCTGAAAGAGAGCTCTGCGGGAGATGGCAGCCATCAGGAGGGGGAGGGGCCTCTTGGCAAGTTCCCACGGGGTGAGGTGAAAAGGGGCTGGCTTCCCTTCTCTGGTGTCTCACTGGAGGTACATGCTGGGGTTGGAGTTCCTGGACCTGCTCTAACGGGGTGTTCCCACTCTTGACACATGTTTCTTACTGCTCACCCACACATGCACATGTGTGTGCTCACCCACACATACACATTCCCTGCAGCTGAGGCCTGGGAGGGCAGCGGAAAAAGCTTTGAAAGAACACCAAGACCATGAGTAGAAGGAAAACTGAACCAAACAATAGCATCATCTCCAGCCTCCATCCAGAAAGCCCCAGCTAGACATGAGCTAAGGAAGAACACATCTGCCTGTCAGCCAGCTCTGGGTACCGCGAGGTCAGAAAACCATCTGCCAACCAAAGCTCAGGCTGCTCCAGCTGGCATCTTTGGGGCTGCCCCAGGCCTCCCCCCAAGTAAAGGTGATCACTGGCTCTCTGGAGACATGTTTCCTTCCGATGGTGGCCGTGGAGCTGAACAAGCGTGTGTAGATGACTGTGGTCCCCTGCAGTGTTGGAGGATGCAAGAGGTGGCCTTTCTGCTTCCCAGAAGGGGACATCACAAATTACCCATTCTGTTCATGCTGGTCCCTTGCTATTAATGGCAAGGACCCACCTTGGCAGCTGGCTGAATCTCACACAATCTCTTCTGATGTCCTGATTTTTTTCTCATTAACCCTGTAGTTGGAGACTGTGACATTAAAACACTTCCCATCTCAAAAAACTCATAACCCCCTTTTTTAAAAAATTAAAAACAATGACTATTTTCCCGTTAGTCCCACCCTTGGTCCGTCTTCACACTCCCTAGTTAGCCCTAAGGATGTTCATGGTCTTGGGCAGGCTTGCAGGCTCTCCCTGGCACAGTGGGTCACGGCACTCCCAGTGACTAGCAAGAAGGGAACGGGGGATAAAGGACTAATGCCCTCCTTCCAGGCAGCCCATGTGCACAAGGCCAAGCCCAGATGCAACTCAGAGCCAGGTCTGGACACTCGGCATCCTTGGACCCACACACTGGGTGGGCTACATTAGTGCTCTCCACCCTGGTCTGCCCATAAAACTGCCGAGCATCTGTTCCTTCTGGTCAGATCTCTGTAGCTGGAGGTTTGGAACTGTGGGCCGACCTGGGGGACAGAAAACCTGTATTCTGGTTCCATTTTCAGCAGACCAATGCTGTTGTGCTAGTGAAGTCATCTTACCCCACTCAGCCCATATCATCCATACCATTGTTGGTTACTGCTATTATTTTCACCAATGGCAAAAACAATAGTAGTAACCATTATCCATTACTGAGCACTTATTACGTGCCACGTTCTTTACATCTGGTATCTGATTCTCACTGCAAACTATGTGAAATCAGTATTACGAGTCTCGTATGTTTTTAATAAGGACACTTATGGACACTGTGGAGCTCAGAGACATTACATAATCTCTCCACTGTCACCCAAATACTCAGCAGAATTGCAATACAAAGTTCACACCAGCAAGTTGCATTGCTAGAATGAAATGATGTAATTCATTCAGCCGAGTTGTAGAGTGCATCTATTTTATGTCACACCCTGCTCTGGATTCCCTCATGCTCTAGCAGGGGGAGATAAGAATTCGGAAAATAAACAAGAAAATACAAGTAAGGTCGGCCCCACCGGCCAGTGGTTAAGGGAGTCAGATCCCATATGGCCCCATGTGGTTTGAGATCCAGCTCCAGTAGCTTGAAAAACATGCCAGGTACAAGTGCGTGTGTGCTCCAAAACCCCACAGGATGAAGGGGACCAGTAGTTAGAGTAATGGCTATGTCACCGGACTCCCACATAATCGACCGCGGTTCGCGTCCCAGACCCGATGGCTTAAAACTCACGCTGGGTGTGTGTGCGTGCGTGCCCAAGATCCCGAGAGGAGAATGGAGGAGAAGGGATTGCGGCGTGGCCATCCCCCCAGGGAGTGATTTCTCGCTTTCTATCTCTCTGTCTCTCTCTGTCTGGAGAGCGCACATGCCCTGTAGCAAAAACCTCTAAAACAAACAAACAAACAAAAAAAACCCCACGGAATGGAGAAATGTAAGACAGAATGGTGGCAAGAGCACACCCCAATGGGGGTGCCTTTTCCCTGCACCATGCCTCTCTCTGCCAAGTGCACGTGCCCTCTGGCGATTAAACACACACACTCAAAGTTGGGCATGGTAGCATGTGCCTGTAATCCCAGCTATGTGGGTGGCTGAGGCAGGAGGATTACAAGTTCAAGGCCAGACGAGGCAGTATAGTAAGACCCCATCCCTAAATTAAAACAAAATATACCCCAAGGAAACAGAAAATGAATAATATATCTAGCACATAGAATGATGATAAGTGCAATGGAGAAAATTAAGCAGGGCTGGGGGCTGAAGAGACTGGAGGAGTCGTGGGTGGACTACTTTTGTAATGAGGCTGAGGTGCAGCCGGAGTGGAGAGAAGACGGGCTGGAGAGTAGATGCACCAAGTGGGAGGTAAGGGCCACGCTGGTGGCGCGCTGTTTGGGGGAAAGGCAGATGGAAGGGCCTGGCGGTCAGTGTGCAGGCTTGGGGCTTCTCCTGAGTGACACGGGAACCCTCACAGAGTTCTCGGCAGAGGAGCATCATGATCTACGTTTTAAAGGGTCTTTAATGTGAATCCCTAGGCTTTCGGATTTGCCAGCGCCACTCGAAAGGGCCTCTGGGTTCCTGTGCGGACCTCTGGGCGGTCTCAGGTACACATCTTGGTTTGGGCATCCCCCTTCTTTCCTCAAAGGAATGAAAGGAAAGGCTCAAATCTGCCAGAGCGGGTCCCCGCAGCTGAGCAGCTGAGCTCTGCAGCTCACTAGACATTCCTGAGTGTTTCTTCTGAGAAGCAAAACCCTTGCCAGAACCACTCCACCGTGAGCCTTTCAAGTTCCCGACCACGGAGCCCTCGCCGCGGGCAGAGTTTGAAGTGAGCTATTTGATCATTCACTGTTTCTCTGTCAGTCCCCAGCCTGAAAGGAAAGAAAGGAGAAAGAGAAAGACCTCTGGATGCAGGAGAGACTGCTATTTCCCAGCTTCCTAAGTCTGTACGGGAACCTGGCTTTGCCAAAGCTCCCTTCAGGCTGCAGCCGGGGACACAAAGGAGGTCAGGCTGGCCTCAGGCACATGAAAAGGGGTCAGAATGAAAGGGTCACTGCACCCTAGTTCCCAGAATTTCCTCCTCCATCTGCCTGCCTGGAAACGGTTTCCAAGAGTAAGTTACAAAAGGGAGAAAAGCCCATCCTGTCTCCACTCCGGCTGGGTTTGAGTTGGGATCAAGCCTTTTTTTTTTTTTTTTGAGAGGTTTATCGCTATAGGGCGCGTGCACTCGCCATACAGACAGGGAGAGACAGAGAGACAGAAAGCGAGAAATCACCCCCCCAGGGGGGATGCCATGCCGCAATCCCTTCTCCTCCATTCTCCTCTCAGGATCTTGGGCATGCACACACACGCCCGGCGTGAGTTTTAAGCCACCGGGTCTGGGATGCGAACCACGGTCGACTACATGGGAGTCCAGCGACATAGTCATTACGCTAACTGCTGGTCCCGGGATCAAGCCTTTTTTAAAGCCCCTGGCTCATTTGTTTTCCCAATCAGGGAGGGAGAGGAAAAAGCCCTGGTTCCTCACGTATCAGAAACTCAGAATTTGATTTTGATAACACCCTACGACACCTAAGTGGCTCTATAAGGAGGCTACTTGTACATCCATGAGACGTGGAGTTTTCCCACTGGAATCTGGACGGTAGCGTGCACCTCAGTTTCCCCACCTGTCAGAGGGGGTGACGGCCCCACCTATGGCAGGAGAAACCTGGTCAGGATGAAACAGGAAACAGTGGGAATGGCTGGGTTCCTTGCAAGAGCAACAACAGCCCCTTTTCTCATAAGGCCACAGAGTACCTGCCACACTTTGGCTGGCCTTGCCCTCAGTTCCCAGAATTTCCTCCTCCATCTGCCTGCCTGGAAACGGTTTCCAAGAGTAAGTTACAAAAGGGAGAAAAGCCCATCCTGTCTCCACTCCGGCTGGGTTTGAGTTGGGATCAAGCCTTTTTTTTTTTTTTTTGAGAGGTTTATCGCTATAGGGCGCGTGCACTCGCCATACAGACAGGGAGAGACAGAGAGACAGAAAGCGAGAAATCACCCCCCCAGGGGGGATGCCATGCCGCAATCCCTTCTCCTCCATTCTCCTCTCAGGATCTTGGGCATGCACACACACGCCCGGCGTGAGTTTTAAGCCACCGGGTCTGGGATGCGAACCACGGTCGACTACATGGGAGTCCAGCGACATAGTCATTACGCTAACTGCTGGTCCCGGGATCAAGCCTTTTTTAAAGCCCCTGGCTCATTTGTTTTCCCAATCAGGGAGGGAGAGGAAAAAGCCCTGGTTCCTCACGTATCAGAAACTCAGAATTTGATTTTGATAACACCCTACGACACCTAAGTGGCTCTATAAGGAGGCTACTTGTACATCCATGAGACGTGGAGTTTTCCCACTGGAATCTGGACGGTAGCGTGCACCTCAGTTTCCCCACCTGTCAGAGGGGGTGACGGCCCCACCTATGGCAGGAGAAACCTGGTCAGGATGAAACAGGAAACAGTGGGAATGGCTGGGTTCCTTGCAAGAGCAACAACAGCCCCTTTTCTCATAAGGCCACAGAGTACCTGCCACACTTTGGCTGGCCTTGCCTTCCCCTCCTGCTCTGGCTCAGGGCTGCCCAGTGGGCTTCCTCTCTTGGGGAGAAAGGATTAGCCAGTGGGAGTGAGGTGGGTGTTTATACCGATAGCCTCACGTCCCTACCGCTTGCCCACACCATGTAAACAGCCCTCGATACACACCGAGTCAGGCACACCATTTGTAGCCTGCCAGGACCCTGACCGATACCCGGGCTTATCTAACCTCGGTGTTGCAGCAACGCTGGAAAGGAAATGAGGAACTTGAGGTCCTCAAAACTGCTGGCTATGCCCAAAGATACCCAGCGCCGCCCCCCAAGCCCTCCACCACCACCACTACCTGCCACCGGAACATGGAGTCCAGGCTCCGAGCCCCCGGGTGGGTATCCCCCAGGGCTCTGTGGCCCTGCCACATTGTGCAAGGGGCCGGCTCTCGCCAGCTCCCTGAGGGAATGTGTCAACCGCTGCTGTCCGCTGCTGATCCAGGGAGGGCAGAGGTCTAAGGGTCCCCATGGCTCATGTGATGACAGTGGCCATCGGCACCGGGTCCTACATTTTAACTCTTTTCCTACTCAACAGCCTCTGAGGAAACTCAGGCTTACAGAGACTTTAAGTTGCCTAGGACCAAACAGCTTGAAGGTAGGAGCCCGGGTACCAACCCCTCTTCTGACCCCCTCACTGACATTTAACCACCCCTGCTGCCCACCGCCCCTTCTTCTCTGACAGGGAAGCAGCCATGTGTTTAACCACGGCCTATGTTCCAGGCTGAATGTTCTTTCATGTACACGCCTTGCTATGTGGCCACAGGCTTATCCTGAGCACAGATCTCTTTGTTTACTAGCTGTGTGGCTCTGGACAAATTGCTTAACCGTTCTGTGCCTTAGCTTCTTTATGAGTAAAATGGAGATCGTAGAACTTACCTCAGAGGGTCTCTGTGAGGATTAAATGAGTTAATATGTGTGACGTCCTTAGAACAGGGTCTCACAAGTAGGATGTGCTGTCAGAGTTAGCAATTCTTATCATCTTTGCTATTGTGGTTACTGTTATTTCTCAACTCACCGAAGTTCTCTCCCCCCCAGATGTCCATCTGGGCATCATACTTTCCCAGGTGGTTAAACCAGGACTTGTCAATCACGAAGATTCCTCCAGCTATGACAGGTGTCCTGGGAGCAAGGAGAGGGAAGCGGCAACGTGAGCTGGAGAAGCTAGGAGACCTTTCAGAGGGCCCCAGGACCCAAGGCCATTCGCCACCATGTTCCCAGTTTGAGAGTCACTTGGGCAGGAAATCTGGACAGCTCCCTGGCCCCCCATAACTTAAGGTTCTGTGGCCTCTGTCTTCTCTTTC